ACATGATAATATTGTCATGTGACTAGTCACAGATTTACACTGATAACTGGACCCACTAAACCCCTGCAACTCATGGCTACAAATGATCACAATGCCCTCACCAATCCATAAACCCTATAAATCACTGGTCACTGCTAGGCAGCGGACTCAAAAAGCAGACACTCATCCCCCTCTGTGCTCACGCCCCCACCGGTGGGTGACTGCTCACAAACTAACTAATTTGTCGAAGTCAAAGTCACACTGTGACTGACAGTCAGTCAGCAAGTCTTGGTGTCAAGCCCTATCTGGGGCTCATGACCAGATATTTATTACTGTATGAGAGTTGTTCTTGTTTTTGTGGGGTAACCTTTCTGACAAGAGGATGGCTCTGTCTTTCGTATACGCTGCTGACCCTTGCTAACTAATTTGCCTCATTTGTCGTTGCTATATGCCCTCGGCATGGACTACAAAGAAAACACCACTTCCAACAGTTCTGCTATTGTTGCATCTGCCTCTGTCGCCACAAAGATGTGTTTACTTTCTGCTGCCTAGCAGGTGACGCCTTCTATGGCTGCACTCTCCCAGCTTTCAGCCATCAAGTCACAATATTAAAATGAATCTTAAAAATACTGGATAGGAAAGTGGACTGCATTCATCTAGTTCAGGACCAGGGACCAGTAACAGGCTCTTGTGAATATGGTAATGAACCTTTGGTTCCACAAACAGTAGGGAATTTCTTGAGTACCTGAGAACTACTGGCTTCTGAGTCATCTCCCTGGAGTTTGTTAATTATGATGAGTGTGCATATCCTCTTATGCACTCTTCATGAAACAGGTCGGTTTCACAACACTGCATGCATGCACTTCTGGATGTGAATGGATTAAGAAAAGAGTAAAATTCATGAGAAGTTGTACCTTGTTCTATTTCCTCTAACTCTTGTATAAGCTTCCCTCTTAATAGCTGAAATTCACTATCATTATTATCCATATCTTGCCACAGCCATATTTGCAAATTATTGGCAATATTCCTGGATACACTGTTTGGTGGAACATAGAGCCTAAAACAATGCACAACAGATTCAGTAAATGCACAAGTAACTGATATGGTTATTAGAAATAAATCTTGCATTAATGATAGATGATTCTTCATAAATAATAAACATTTGCCAGTTCTATATAGTGGATGTGCACACAAGTATGCACACAAACACATAGTACTTTCTTCCTGGTAGAATGCAATGGTACATGGTATTGACAAATTTTCTTCTTTTTAGAAAGGATAGTAGTCTAAAGATGGGCTTCAAAATCATCTAGTTTACTTTGAAAGTATAACCAACTATTCTTTCCAGCCACCCCTCCCCCAACAAATAAATACTGGTTCATATAAAAAAAAGGATTTTTTTCGGCCAAACTTGTCAACAACGTACATTATCAACACTAAGGAACTGCAACAGCTCTTTGTCATCACATTTAGAAAACACTATAAAATAAATCACTGCCTTCCTTTGACAAGACTGCGACAATGTTATTTTTATGAAGTAAGCTGTATAGCAAAATTACAAAATTCCCGGGTTGCTGGAAGACTTGGGAAAGTGCATTCTTAACTTCTACTTACCACCTCTCCTCATCCAATAAATCTTCATCTCCTATATTTATTACATCGTGTTCATCCACTGTCTGATCCTGTTGATCCGTATCCACAATACAGTTTTCATCTGAAACACTTAAAACTATTTTCTTCCCAATTAAACCATTCCTAGTGTGCTGTGATCTGAGCTGTTCATTTTGAAATTCCAGTTTCTTAACTTTGTCCTGTAGCTTCCGCACTTCATCGCGAGGATCTAACACGTCAACCTTATTTTCCATCGTAACGAAGACTTATAATACGATTATACACTACTGCAAGACATAAACTTTTCTAAAAATATACACACACTCATTCACACGACCCTTCTTGCTCACATTTCCCAATAATTTTGATAACACGGCAGTACCCAGTACCAGTGGTACCAATCACCAAAGACGTTTGTATACATGTCATGATGGGAGATAGGACAGTTGGTCAGGTTTACTGTGTTTTGGTCTAACCACGTCTTGAGCGGTATTGAGTCAAAACATTTATCATACCAACATAAGAAAACACAATTTCTCATTATTATTCTCTTGAATTAGGTTATTAGGTTTTGTTTCCTGTAAGCGCTTAGCGGTAGAATTTAAGACTTCTACAACGTGGTGGTAATTGTGATAACAATAAGTAATAATGTAGGACCAGAGAAAAAAGAAACAGAAATAATAAATAGCCTGCAGATGAACTAGAACTGTAGAACTGTAAACTTCCAAGTACAAGTCACATTGCGACTGACGGTCAGTCAGTCTGCCTGTCTTGGTGTCGAGCCCCGGCTGGGGCTCATAACCAGATTTTTTTCCTTTTTTCTTATGAAAGTTACTGTCCTGTCCATTTGGGGCACCCTCTCTAACGAGAGGTCGGGTCTGTCATTCGTCATAGTCCGTATCAGTAGGTCCATTGTCAGTATTTACATATATTTACAAATTTAATCTTAATTCCTATTTATATGTACAATACATACAAGGCCTCTGTCAATCCAGGCTCAGTACAGCAGATTATGCCCTATTTCTAGTAGTATTCACTACCACGGCAGTCTAGTCACTTGAACAGTCGTATGCCTGACTGCTGCCAAGTTTAAGCCTCTTATACTTTCTGTGTCAATGCGTATAGGATATTGGTGGGAAAGGTGGGAGGAAAGAGACCACAGGGACGACCAAGGCATAGGTGCGTGGACAGTGTTGGAATGGATCTTACGAGAGATATGATAGGATGGGATGGATTGGATAGATCTGGCTCAGGATAGGGACCAGTGGAGGGCTCTTGTGAACACGGTAATGAACCTTCGGGTTCCATAAAATGCTGGGAAATTCTTGAGTAGCTGCAGAATTGGCGGCTCCTCAAGAAGGGCTCAGCTCCATGAGTAAGTAATACTTTCTGTGTTGGGCTTCGCCTTGTCCGATGTTGTGAACATTCTCATTTTCATGATTTTGTACAACTTCTGCTTGTTTCCTGCATAATTTTGTTATATAGTCATATACGTACGGGATATTGAATGTCATGTGCAAATCGTGAACCGGTGTGCGCCTTGGTCCAAGTCCAAGTCACATTGCGACTGATGGTCAGTCAGTCTGTTTGTCTTGGTGTCGAGCCCCAGCTGGGGCTCATGACCAGATTTTTTTTTTTTTTACTTATATGAAAGTTACTGTCCTGTCCATTTGGGGTGCCCTCTCTAACAAGAGGTCGGGTCTGTAATTTGTCAGTCATAGTCTGTATTAGTAGGTCCATTGTCAGTATTTACATATATTTACAAACTTAAGATTACTCCAAGATATTTTACACAATTTACAAATGGAATATATCTTCCATTCAATGTAAGATGAGACATAAGCGGACGACTGCAAGAGAAGTAGATCCCGAGTCTTATCTTCATTAATTTTGATATTTCAGCAGTCACACCAGGTCTCCATTGAGCTGAGACCGCACTGGAGTTTTCTAACAACAAAACCCTCCTTGGGATCTATTGCATACAGACAGGTGTCATCCGCAAAGAGGGTTAGTTGGACGCCATGTGTTTGGGGGGCATCATTTATGTACATATTGAAAAGAGTAGGGGACAGGACTGAACCTTGTGACACCCCTGCTTGCATTCCCTTGTCATAGATATTTCTCCTTCCACTGAAACACTGAATTTTCATTGTGAAAGAAATGATCCAGTATGCTTGATTAAGCTGGTCAAAAATTCCAGTTTTGACAACTTATATAGCAAACCCGAGCGCCATGTAGTATCAAAGGCTTTTCAATGTCCAAGAACACCGTAGCCATAGACATTTTATTGTTGAAATTAAAGGTCACGTGGTCTGTTAGCCTCATACATTGCAATGTCGTGCTGTGACGTGCACGGAAACCAAACTGGCCTGTGTCAAGCAGGAATTTCTTTATGTACTGCACACAGGAATATATCTTGAAGATAGGTTTGTAGAGCTAGCCGCAGGTATTAAATTGAGCCTGACAAATTAACAGTTCTTTTTCAATTTTTCACACATGTAGAATATGTGAGAATGTATTGGGATGGTGGAAAAAAAAGGGATCTTGAGACTTTGAGGGATTTACATGTTCTGAAAAAGTGGTTTTTGATATTCCATTTGTATGTACGTGCACGCACCTCATGTCAGAATGGTTTCATGCATTCTATTTGCATTTGATATGAAAGAGTTAAGCCATCGTGAGTCAGTACCCACTGAATATAAACGTTCCAACTCCAAAAATAATGGACCTTTAGATGCATGCCAAAACACAAAATGACAATTTTCAAATGGGCAAGTGCTTCATCATGCATATTTTGGTGTGTGAAGACTATCTATGCGAACAAAGTAAATCCCATAGTTGTTAGGGCACTCACTGTAAGGGAGACAAACACACAGGCGGATGTGTGAGTATAATTAAAAAAAAAAAAAACTAATAAAATAAAAAGAGTAATCTTTATAATTCGAAAGACATCATGAGAGATTAAAGTTTATATTAACTTATTTAAAAACATTATACTGAGGCACAACAATGTTTACAAGTGAAATGGCTCTCACAGTAGTGATAATGGGGATTACAGACTTTTGGGGTTTAACACTGTATAGTCTGGTAGACGTTACCAGTGCTGGTAATGATGTTCCAGACTAAACAGTGTCATGCCCCCAGATAACAGTAACATTCAAACTTACAAATATTCAAATATGCTATGCCTCACAGAATAATATTAATGGTATATTATACAGCATGTCCCAGGAGGAAAGGTCAGTATTCTGGGAAGTCACAGTATCAGTCATATCAGTCAGTGCATATGTACGTGTCCTATTTGGAATTGTTTCCAAGATAGTTATTTCACTGTACAGTTCCAAAATTGTTGATAAAAAGAGATACTACTTACTGTTTCTAATACTGATATTCATTGTTCAAGTGATAAAGTTTGTACAGTTTGCCTACTATAATACATTTTCGAAAATTCCACTATCAACATCAGTGCACTTTGCAACTCGTGTGAGGACAAGGAGTGTTGCTCATCTGTACAGTGTACAGTGAAATAGCTCTACCTCGGAATCTGCTCGGAAGAGGACACATGTACATACAATTATTTTTTGCTCAGAATGACAGATACTATGACCTTTCCTCTTGGAACACCCTGTACAGTAATCATCTAGAAGTCTGGGAGTTGGGCCCCTTGTTGACTTTGTTCAGCAGGCTCTTCAAAAGTCTTGCTCAGTTTCTCCATTTTATTTTGTGGTTCATTTTATGATGCCGCAAGTAGACTATACTGTGTGAAATGGCAAGATGATACGTGAACTGGAAAGAACTTGGACGGAAGCACTTGCGGCTTAATTGAGGTACTACCCTGATATTTGCCTGGAGGGACTGAGAAAAATCATGAAAAACCCTATCAGGATAAGTGGTGTCCTGGCTGAGATTATTCTCTAGCACCTCGCAAATATACATCTACCCTTCAGACCCAATCTGTTAAGATGATTCCTTTGCATAAAATGTCTAATAAATATGAAAATGAAACCTTTCTATTTCCTACCATTTGCCTAATAGAGAACATGCAGAAATATTATGAAATTTAATACACACTCTTGCCTATATATATGGTAGCCAAGACTACAAAAGCAAAGTGCTATTATTGTGGTACACGTTTTGGGTGCAATTCAAATCCTTACTAATAATATTTTTTTATATTGCATGACTATACTTTCATTTCCTTAATAAGAATAAGTACATTCTCTAGTCATATACCATTACTATCAACTGTGAGACAAAATGCAAATTTTCACATTCGAAATACTAACATTCACTTTCAAATTTATGTAATCTTGCAAATATTTCACCGAGTAATGAAATAATTTAGGTTTTACAGAAGGCATAATTTTTATATAATTACACTGCTGGCTGGACTATGGACTATATCAGACTACATGTGCTGTTAAAACACAACAGTAAAACTGAACATTAAGAAGTGAATTTTAAAAACTTGTATGTGGTGTTAATCACCTGTCATAAATGACAGAAGTGAGTAATGAGAATCTTTTTAAAATATGGTATGGCACTATATATATGTATAAGAATCACACTTCACAGTCGAAACATCAAATGCCACATCATTTAGTCAGATCAATTGATTTGCTGAAACTCCCTTTCCTTATTTAAAACAAGTTAGAAAAGGTAATTCTGATGCATTTGCTTCCTTGTGTTTAATTATCTCAAGAACCGCAAGACTTATAGAAAGCCATAATGGACACAAAATATGTCTTTCATTTATCTATGTAACTTTTGTCTAATAAATTTTTGATTCAGATATTTAGCAAGTTATCCTAAAAATGCGTGCAGAAACACGTAGATCTTCGTGAAAAGTTTCCATTATTGCTGCGTGACTTCACCAAAAACTGGAATTTGACAGAGTTTAGTAAAACCCCCACAATATAACATTTTATGAATATCTATTCATGAAAGCTAACAGGCTCATTCTTTTGCAGCTCCTCACAATAAACACACCAGAAACTGAAGCATTCCAAAAATTCTAAACACCTGAGTTTAAAGCCAGAGATATACAGCATTTTCATAATTACATTAAGCACATTTATAATATTTTGTTTTTAAAAACTCTTCAATCATAGCTAATTCTAAATGTTTCTGATGATTGTGTGTAACAATAAACATGACTATTATTCTGGACACTGTCCACCATGTTGTTTTTCAAAAATAACATATTAGAAACTTGATCTGTCTCCATGTTCCCACTCAAGTGGGTTGTTAGGAAGAGCTAGTCTGTCACTGGACACTGAGATAGGTTCTAAGTTTGCTGAAGTCAAATGTTATCATTATATCAATGTTTCTGTTCTCATCTCCTGATGGTGATGTCTGACAGAACTTCCTGTGTACAGCAATCAAGATTAGCTCTTTCTAACATATCCAGCTAAGCAGGAACTCTTCTTCCTTTGCACATGATAATGGAAACAGATTAAGTTTTCAAAATGCTGTGTTTGAAAAACTCAGAATGGTGGATGGTGTCCACAATAACTTTCATGTGTATCTTTGATCATAGCTCCAACTTATTTGTAAGACACACAGAAGAAATACTGATTGTATATGGTGAGCAAATGTATGCATACTCCCACTTTTCCTTATGTAATACAAATTTTTTACAAAACTGCTTCATTACACAGCAAATTCAGTCCACAATCAACGGCTGGTGAACAGGACTGCTTTTCAAGAACCTATCTTAATTTATTCCATAACTATCTGGATGTAACACAGTCCTTTTTTAAAAAGCTGACAGTTACACAGAAAGTCAAGACGTAAGACTTTTTCTAGAACCCAAAGATTCATTACTGCATTCACATGAACCCACCACTGGACACTATCCTATGCCAGATGAATCCAGTGCACATTCTAATTCTCTAAGCTATATTTCAGTATTTTCATCAAACAATGTAAATTTCTCCAATGTTGTCTCTTCCCTCCAGGGTTTCCAACTAACATTTTGTATGCATTTCTCATATCATAAAATACATAAAAAAATTCATTCACAAATAAAACAGTAAAATTAAAAGGCTGATACATACTCTGAAAATTGCATTTAAAAAATATAAGTTGTTTTACATTTACTTACGACTAGAAATATTTGTTCCTTTTGAGATTTATATGCACATGCATGTATGTAAGAATTAAAAATACCAAATTCCGTGTCTTGTGGCAGTAACCACATTAAAACAATGTGAGAATACTGACACGCTAATACTAGTGGTATAACGATTGTGCGAGCAACCAGCACTGTATAACACATCATTATGTTCCTCTGTCAAGTTTGCTGGTTCAGTGTGTATAGAGAAGAGGAAACTATATGACAAATAAATTGAGGAACATTTGTGGGTTAACCTGCTTATCTTAATTACCATTAACTCTCATTTGTGTAGTATGTGAATGACAGTAAGTGACAATGTTTGAATCGGTTTAAATTAATCTGTTCAGGCACATAACTTCATTCACAAGCAAGTTTGCTATCAAAACTGCTTAGCGCTATAGCAAATGCTTGTACAGCACACATTGGGTAGCGGTAATCCATCGTGAAAACATCTTCAGCTACACGGCCAAACTGCATCACAATGTAGTCCACTGCAAAAGAATCAAAAAGCCTGTTACAAAGGTAAAATAGGTGAGGTTCTCCCTGTGCTTAACTAATTAACACTATGCTATGAAGGTGTATGAGGGACTGGATTTATAGATCCACAATTTCTTAACCTCTGCACAAGCTGAAGTTGAGTGGTCAGCTTCAAGCCCTGGCCACTTTACCCTCAGAGAAAGAGCCCCTATGTACCCATTGGATATGAGAGTTGGTGAACCCCAGAGCTGGTCTGGATGACATGGAGAAAACTCTTTACCATACCAGGACTCAAACTGCGACCCCTTGGTCTCCCAGTGTGTAACTAGTCGCTATGCATGAATGAATGCATAAGGGGTGGGCCCTTCTGGCCCTTGAACTTCAAACGAAATGTAGGATTTTGATTTAGCTAGTCGCTATACAGACTACGCTATCCCGGTTTCAAAATAAGCCTGCTAAAAAGGTAAATTTATCATATGGAAGCATACTGGGTTATGATGTGTTGTAGTGTGGTATATAACCCAGAAGATTATATGAAATCTTTACCAGTGTGAAAATGGTATGGACTAAAATATCAGTAATTGTCACTGTTATACATACGCACATACACAAAATTAAGAAGTGGGGGGAATCTAGTAAACTTTACTATCTTGAGAGGGCAAAATTATATAAGTTTTTTTTTAATTCGCTTAGTGGGGGGTGGAGTCCAACTGGGTCCACTCGGCACGACGGCCACTGATTGGCCTATTGTAGCCTGCCCTGGGTGATTATGATGATGGAGAATTTGGTGGAATGAAGATTGGCAGGGGAAACCAAAGTACTCAGAGAAAACCTGCCCCAGTGCCACTTTGTCCACCACATATTCCACTTGACAAGGCCCGGGATTGAACCCGGGCTGCCGTGGTAGGAAGCCAGCAACTAACCTCTTGAGCTATGGCATGGCCTTATATAAGGTTTGGAAACCGTTGCATTTGTATAAACTTTTTAAATTGATATTTGTAATAAAACTTAATCTTTCAGTCTTAAAATAAGTTTACATTTTTATACAAATAACATTATTAAAGAAAACTGGTGTGCTTCTAGTATACGTTTTAGTTCTCTGTTCTAATTCTAGTGTGACACACTAAAAGAAATATGAATATCCTAAGTGTGCCCCGAGCACCAAAAGGTTGACAGCCACTGAACTACTGCACATTTCATACAGTGCTGCAATATAACTTGTGACCCACAAACAAAGTAAGATAAAGTTGTCCCTGTGCTTAATTAAGTAGCGTGTACTGAAGATGTATGGTCAGCTTCACATTCCAGCCACTTTATCCCAGGGGAAGAACACCTAGTACCCACTGAATTTGATCCTGGGTGGGCCCCAGAGCTGACCATGACATGGAGGATATCAAAAAGATCTCTTCCTTCAACAGCAACTGAATCTAGGGTCTTTGGTTGTCCATCCTATAGCCCAGAGTTACCAAGAATCCTGCCTATGAACTAACTCATTCACTTGGTGGTGCAAAGTCATCCTTAAGAAGCTAATAGTTGCTCAGCTAGTTAAAAGATTTCTAACATATTATGGAATCTGAAGGTTCATTAGGGTTCACAGAAGCCCACCAGTGATCTGCATTCTGAGCTGGATGAATAGGACACACCCTCCCATCTTATTTAAGATATATTTTAATGCTCTGTAAGATTTGAGGTTTTCACGGCAGTGACTATGAAGAATGCTGTCTTCTGGGATGTGGCACAGCATAGAGCTTGTGTGAACCGACATTTCGGAAGAACGTATCGCCTCCATCTTCAGGGTAGAAAAATCCACGAGTAAGGAACCAGGGTGAGCAGGTGGCTAGCAGAATGAGCCACCTGCTCATGCTGGTTACTCGCTCGCTGATTTTTCTACCTTGAAGATGGATATGTTCCTCCTAAACTTCGGTTCACACATCTAAATGGCACCACATCCCAGAAGATGGCACACTTCTCATTTTAATATCACCTTCTCATGTATACCTTGGTGTTCCAAATAGGTTCTCTCTTTCAGGTGCAAAACAGAACACCCTTTATGCTTACCATCACTGTCATGAACAATCTGAAAGTTTTTGACAGATGCTTGCGTGACTCGACCATGAAAGTTAAGCACATAGGACTGCGTGTCATCATTCCACACTGGTGTCTTGTTATGAAGCTCTATCAAGTTATCCATGTTCTTACTTCGCCAAGATTCTGAAACAAACACACAAACAAATGCTGCATTATTTCACTAAGCAGGAGTTCCAGTATTATAATGTGATGATTGCATTCACTGGGACTAATGCAAGGTAAAGGTAAAGTTATCTCTGTAACAAGATATGGAGGCGCATAGGGTTGTGAGACACTGAGGCTCCCACATTATCATAGATGGCAGTGAGGTTGTCAACCATATGCACCAGCCGCCCTTTACCGCCAGGAAGATTCCTGGTACTCATTTCTGTCAGAGGTTGAGTTGACCCCACGGCCACAGTGAGGCTGGAAGGATTAGGTAAACTGAAAAAATCCAATGACCTAAACAGGACTTGAACCCGTGACCTTCCAGCTTGTAGAATAATGCCTCAACCAACTATGCCACAGCGTCCCTGCAATAGAAAGCAAATTATGAATTTCAGATATTTACCTAGTAATCCTTCATGATGATCTTGAGGTGATATTTCAACCCTTTTGTGATCTTGTGTCATTCCAGGTAAAATTACTGTCATCTTTCTTGGGCCCTTAAATCCCAAGACATTTGTTTCCTGTAACCAAGTTTGAAGTTCTTAACATCACTCACTCACTCATGGTGCTGAGCCCTTCTTGAGAAGCTGCCAATTGTGCAGTTACTCAAGAAATATCCCAGCATTTTATGAAACCCGAAGGCTCATTGCCATGTTCACAAGAGCCTTCCACTGGTCCATATCCTGAGCCAGATTGATCCAGTCCATACTATCCCATACTGTCTCTCCAAGAGCCATTTTAATACTGTCCATCCATATGTCTTGGTCTTCCTAGTGATCTCTTCCCTTCTGGCTTTCCCACCAATATCCTATATGCAGTCCTCTTTGGCCCCCTTTGAGCTACATGCCCTGCCCATCCCATCCTCCTTGACTTGATCATTCTTATTATACTTGGAGGAGAGTACAAGTTATGAAGCTCCTCATTATGCAGTTTTCTCCAACCTCCTGTCACTTCATCCCTCTTCAGTCCAAATATTCTCCACACCCTGTTCTCAAATACCCTCAGTCTATGTTCCTCCCTTAATGTCAGAGACCAAATTTCATACCCATATAGAACCACAGACAAAATTATAGTTCTGTACATTCTAATTTTTATGTTTTTAGACAGCCGATGATAGGAAAAAAGGTTCTGGACTAAGTAAAAGTAAAAGTAAGTAAAGCTATCCCTGTAACAAGCCATGAAGGCCCATAGGGTTGTGAGACGTTGAGGGTCCCACATTATCTAGACAATCGGCTCAAAGACGGTGGTAAGGTTGTCAGCCTTACGCGCCAGCTGCGCTTTACTCCCGAGGAAAACTATTTATTTAACTTCTGGTACTCATTTCTGTTAGAGGCTGAATGAACCCCAGGGCCATAGTGCGGCCAGAAGGCTTAGGTCAACTGAAAAAAATCCAATGACCTCATCGGTATTTGAACCCGCAACCTTCCAACTTGTAGCATAGTGCCTGGTAGCATATATTATCTGAATTCAATCTGCTCTTAACAAAGCCTTACAAAAACAAATTGCTACTAGCATATCCTTTCATAACTGTATTTGGGTGAAATTTAATGCCCACTTTGCATGCCTGCAAATTAACATGATGTTCTCATGGTGGCCAATACTAAGACTGTGATCTTCTGGAATCTGACACTGCATAATTTGGTAGACAGATACCAATGTTTCAGAGGAATCTTCTGCCTCTTTTGTTCAGTGCAAAATATACCTACCCTGAAATGAAGACACAGCTTCCCTGAAAACATTGCTACCTATAAGCCAAAGTACATCGCATGAAATATCTGAAGTCTGTAATCTTAAATTTAAAATGTTCGACATGCTCCCTACAGTTTGGATCATTATGGTACAGTACCCATGAACTAACCATTTTTTCAATAAATTTCTCTTTAAGAACAAAAAATCTTACTTGTGAACACATTCATTACTTCCCTGCCATCTACTGGCAAAACTACTAAAATACAGTCTCAATAACAATTTCCATCATAGTTTTCATCATGAAATCCAGGGAAAAAATAGCTGAAGGCTTGCCTGTGTCAATCCTGGTGATTCTAGGGCATAAATCATGTGCAACAAATGATTCCAGTAATCACCAGAATCTGGTACAAGCATGGTGAAATGTCACGAACTATAGTAGTTGAATGTAGTCGAAATCCATACCCTCTACACTACTAATTTAAATATTATCCTCTCATCTATATCTAGGTTTTGAATCAGGTCTCTTTTCTCAATACTTCCTGACCACAATTAGTGAAACAGATGTGTTGATACAATTGCAAAACAAGATATTTTGATGCTGGAGCGTGATCGGGTCAAATTCCAGCTGTGCAGTACAACAACATAGTACAAAACATGAATAAGATCAACAGTATTCAAAGAAGTGAAGCATAAGATGATAGTTACATAGATTATGGCTGCCAACTCCTGCCTAGCACTAGTTTTCTTCCAGTCTTCTCTCGATTCCCCTCTTCGAGGGGAAAGACCATTGTCATAAACAGTGAAATGAGTTCCTAATAGATTGGACCGTAGCTTTCCTACATAAGATTCTCCTCCGCGTGACAAATCAGTGGGATCTGTAGAGATAAGGTAATTGCTTGTAGCACTCTTCTTACGTTTTCTGCCAGCCAATAAGAAAACCTAAAAGCAAAAAACACTGACTTTGCATGATAATTCTCTATGCTTTGATATTGCATAACCAGAAGTTTCATAGATTCTAAAGGGTTCTCACGATGGTGTATAACACTCAGAATTACTGGGTTTTCAGACTTATCCATCATCTGGTATTCTAAAAACTAGAGAAAGCAACGTTTCAGAAACTGTATCTGTTTATGTCCTCAGGTTGAGGGGGGGAGACACCTACTCTGTTGGGTCCCTTAGAAAGACCTAATGTCAATAATTGTAGATGGACAATGCCTGAAAACCCTGTAATTCAGAAGATTAATGTACTGAAATCATAATAATAAGCCACGATTATGGGTTAAATAACCTGACAAGGCATGAAGTGTGCCCTTGCAAACTGGCCTCACCTTTTTGCCGTAATCTCTCTCTAGGTGCAGAAAGTATGTAGGATACAGCCCACGATCCATTCCTTTCCTGTCACGTGTAATGCGACATTTATAATGGACCCTCTGACAGCCTGGTTCAAGGACAAAACTCTCCAAGTTTCCCTCCACATCACCTTCCCTTTCTCTGTCCTGAAATCACGAATCCACATTTAACAGTATTTCAACTGAGGTTTGCACATCACTGACTATGAAAATTAATCATCTGGGATGTAACATCACAAATTTTTTGGAGAAATGTGCTGTCTGCATCTTCAAGGCACCTTGAAGATGGAGGTAGCAGTTCTTCCAAAACATTAGTAATGATCTATATGATGTAACTCCCAGGAGACAGTATTCTTTAATCTCCCAAACAACAAAGAAACGCAAAGCAATCTACATACAGAATTCATACATACTTCAGGATTCACACTGATGAAGTTAGACGGTTCTGAAGCTGGGCCAACAGACACATTCATTGCATTATCTGGAGTCTGAGGAGAAATGGGAGTTGATTCTTCATCTTCAACATCCGGATGATCATCTGCTGATAAGCTCAACGTTTCCATCTGGTAGTCCAGCTCTGAGAAATAATTTAAAATTACTGTTGTTATTCTCACAATATTTTTATACATCAGAAATCAATGGCATCACAAGCAAATATAAAGATGAGTTGCTGCACAGCTGTAACTCTGTAAATATAGCTTTACATAAATATACCACTCATTAATATCTTATTATTTGTTTATATACATGTGTTTGCGCATATGCTCATCTGACTTCCTAAAATAGAACTTTATATAAATATGCCTACATTATTTTCGTTTTATGGTCTGAAAAACAAGACACTGCTAATTTCAAAATGCATTATATTTACCCTCTTCATGTGTGTCATTATTTGACTGCAAAGAAATTACAGAATCTGGATTTCCTGGTGCCATGGTGTACTGCAATGGTCCATCATAACCTGCCCAAAGGAAGATTAATGTCATGAATAAGCTAAAGTGATACCTTAACGGACTTAACAAAACAAATCCGTATAATTCTTATGTCATAAGAATTAAAAGGGGTATCCAAAATCTTGCATACCATGGAGTTCTCGACCCCTGCTGTTTGCCAAAATAGTTCTGGACTGAAGGCCATTCTGGGCTTTTGCCGAAACACTTCGTACATCAGAAGCTTGGAGCATGCCTGGAGTTTGCCGTTTTTGTCGCATCTTTTGTTCCATAAGCTGCCTCTGAAAAAAATGTAAAATAATGAACGATAAAGAAATACACAAAGTGTACAAAATACTTCATCAGAACTGACACCAGTTCCTACATTTCAGTAAGAGCACATTCGTGTCTAAAGAAAAGTGCCGTACTTGCTGCTCAAGTTTTTGCTGGCGAAGGTTTACTGAAGTCATATTTGTTTAGGCTGTCTCCTTGGAATGTATTGTCACATATAATTCAGTGACGTATTAAAAGAGGTAATCCTTGACAGTAACTTGATTAACAAGAATGAACGCCACTTTGTAATTCTGTTTATTGGCTTGTTGTTTAATAAGTCATCTCCTATTGGTTCCGCTTTTCAACATGACTACCAACTACGGAAACGTAATTCGGTTTCGTGGGGCAAAAGTACATTCTTTCCATTATTTAGACGGTAATAGTGATGAATTACTCATTAAAACTAAATAATCTTTATCAAATACGGATATTGGAAAATATAAAAAATTGCAACAGCTGCCTGTTAAATATCATATTCACTAATTTTCATTATAAGTTTGTTCCTGGACTGAGGGTTTCGTAAATATTTCAACATTCTTTCATCCCACGTCTAACACTGTTCCCAACGTGCCCAACAAAGCTGTCACAGATTACTAGACACATATGCTTAATTCAATGTGGATCGATGTAAATGGCGACACCCGTAGACTATGCTGACACATTGTGTCCCAATTTCATATACTATGCGACGGTAGATTAATCGGTAATAATGTCGTCTATTATTCGGCCACCAGGCCCGACGTCCCAAACAAATTTACTACGAAATCCTGACATTGTAGAGGAACGTCTTCCATATCCAAGATATATGAGAGTGTAGTGTATGTGAACTACTGATATGTTGGGATTTTGGACTTTATCCAGCGTCCTGGTTTTTAAGATAACAAATAAAAACACGACGTTTCGGAAACTGGATCTGTTTCCGTCCTCAGGTGAAGGAAAACACCTATTCAGTTGGGTCCCTTAGAAAGAGCTAGCCTCAATCACCGGACCGCTAGCTCTTTCTAAGGGACCCAACTGAATAGGTGTTTTCCTTCACCTGAGGACGGAAACAGATCCAGTTTCCGAAACGTCGTGTTTTTATTTGTTATCTTAAAAACCAGGACGCTGGATAAAGTCCAAAATCCCAACATATCAGTGTGTTATACACCATCGTCAGAATCCTATAGTAACTACTTGTATGTGAACTAGTTTAATTACTTCCTTCATTTCTCAAGAAATATCAGCTTAAATTAGAATATCCGTTTCTCTTTATCCCAACGTGTGCGCAGAATTTTGTTTCTTTTAATACGATACGGACCGCATAAAGATGACGCGTTCAACAATTCTTCTATTGTTACGCATGTATTCGTTGCAGTGGTAACATTTTTACCGAACCGTTGCCTAGCAACGATAGGCGGATACATATATAAATACACAGACTAATGGAAGGGATTTATGAAGTATGCCGTTTTGATGGGCTCAGGTGCTATGATACATGCCAAGTTTCATAAAGACTGGTTCAGCGATTCAAAAGTTGAAGGCGGGGGGAATACACAGAGAGAGACACACACACAGCATGATAATCGCATAAAAATACGTTTGTTTTTTAAAAAACAAGGAAAAGGCTAATAAAATACGAGGACTGTGTCTTTAAAGGGTCCTTTTGGAACTTCAAACCAGGATGCCTGCCATGACAGTACAGAATCTAGAGAGTTCTATTCTGAACAGGGACACGAATGTCGCTCTTTGCCACAACGTTCAGCTAGCCGTGACGGGGAGTCTATCCTCGGAAGCAAAGTGGCCAGTTCGTGGGGCCATTCGCTTTCATTTAGTGCTACATTAACTGAGGATGGAGTTTCACCTACATTCCACCATACGTCTTCATGGTGTGGGACTCAGACACAGGAAAAAATTTATCCTTATCGGTTATCAATGAGCCCAGTTCATATCAACTGTCTCTCTGTATGATGGAGGCGAACGTTCCTCCGAAACGTCGGTTCACACAAGATCTACACGGCTGTTGTAATTTAACGGAGAGACTGGCGAAAAAATACACATTAATTTTCTAGCAGAGGCGTTGTAAACGTTTTCTTTTTTCGTCACCAGGTCCAGATCAGTTTGAAAATTCATCCTGTCTCTGATTCATCAATGATAATGGTTCTTCCTTTCATTTATTTACCATGTAAACATAAGCTAAAACGACACATTAAGTGTTTCAATAAATACACGAGGCCAGTGACAAAAAAAAAAGTCCGTGGCCTGTAGTCCGCAAGCGAACTATATCCAACTATACCGCCGCTTGTCGGCGAAGTTAGTGCCAACTTTAGTGGATAGAGGGTGTCGCGTGGTGAGCGCAATGGATCCCCACGGCCGTTAATTTCGGTTTACTAGACCGGAGCCTCTGTTTCCTTGAAATAGCTCCTCAATTATCCTCACGAGGCTGAGTGGGTCCCGTTCCATACCCATTACTTCTCAGAAAATCTGGTAGCGACGGGAATCGAACCCGGGACCTCTGGATCTGTAGCCAGGAACACAAACGCGGGCCCACAAGTGGAGTAGCTTTCCAATCTCTGACTGTGATCGCATAAACAAGAACAGTTCACGGGAGATGGGGACGTGACGTCACAACAATGAGTGATTTCGCTTTCCTTGCTCTCCCTCCTCCCAAGTCAACTTCTTCACGGGTTGCTGAGGTAACACCACTTCACCTCTAGGAGTGACGCAGGCAGCGCGTGCGGCGTGCGGCTAGCCCTGCGCAGAGCGGTAAGTACAAACTCACAGGAAATCAGAAATGTGTGACGCTGTTCGTTTTGTGCGAGATCTGTGGTTATCACGGCCGTGACCACGAATATTGCTGTCTTTTGAGGAGTGATGTCGTATAGTCTGGTAGAAATTTGTCAATGTTTCGGAGGAACGATTTACCTCCATGTTCAGGCTATGCTTGCTTGTTTTAATCTTCGATTATGAAAGTGGACGTAGCGCTTTCCTTCGAAAAGTTGTTGAACTTCTACCAAACTACACGGTGTAACGCTTCAGATATCAGTTGAGTATTATGAAAGAAGTGAAGGAGAGAGTGGCGCGTGTTTGATGATTTAAAGTGATCATAATGACACGTTAATTTTGTAGGTACCATGTAGTGTACTGATTTCAGTCAGGGTAGCTCAGTCGATACAGTGACTAGTCTACTGGCTCAAGGACAGGAGAATTAAGGTTTGAACTCCTAGCAGGGGCAGAAAATGTTCTTTTATCCTCAGCGTCCACATCGGCCCTGGGACCGATCCAGCTTACTAGGCAACAAGGAGTTTTTCCTTACTGATAAAGCGGCTGGGGCGTGAAGGTGACCGTTCACTTTTAACAGCGAGATTAAGAAAGCGTGGAGCTATACCTCTATATATGTCAACATGGCGTGGTGCTTAATCAAAAAACGACAAATTTACATGCGGCTACTTTGCTGTTCGCTTTTATGATGGTTATTTGCTTGGCTTATTTCTCGATCCTGAAGATGGAGGCAGTCTGTTGCTCGAAAAGTCAGTGAATTATCAGGTTTCACAGAGTCGCATTCCAAAAGATGTGCTCTTTATAGTTCCGCATTTTTCTCGCTTCCTCCCGCGTAAAATAACTCCAATGAATTTTGACGAAACTTGCTTTCGAAATATTTTTGGTTCGACGAATATTTTACGAGTTATATTCAAGACAAACACAAAAACGCACATAGATCTTCATTAACAATGTTCATTATATTTGTTCGATTTTATCAAAACTTCGAAAGTATCGATAAATTTTAGTAGGACTTTTCGATGTCAAATTTCACGAAACCCCATTTAGCGGTTTTCAAACTGTATCATAGCGATGGACGGACGTATAGAGTAATTTTAATAGGTGCTCGACGACGATAGGAAGGAGCCTAACATGACCTTATCACGAAAGACACAAAAGGTCTTGTTTATATTTCAAAAGCCAAACCTACGTCCTTCTGCATAACTTCAGACTGAAATAGACTTGTGGTAAAGTCAAAAGTAGCCGGTCACGGTAGCCGATCGGTCTAAGGCATGTACTGTCTTCGCTCGCTTGGAAACCGGGATCGTGGGTTCGAATCCCACTCAGGGCATGGATGTTTAGTTTGTGTGTGTGCGTTTTTCTGTGTTTGTGTACAGGTAGAGGAGTCCTACCGAATGTGTAAGATCTAGAAAAACCGAAGTGAACGGAGAAGTTCATGGAGGTAGGCCTAGGCCCACTGGGGCTGTAGTGCCAAGGGGGGAAAAAAAAGTCAAAAGTAAAGTTGTCCCTGTGCTAAATTAATTAAGCATTATGCCATAAAGACGTAAGGAGAAGTAGAGGTATAGCTGCACACATACTTAACCTCGGCACTACAGTAAGGTGAGTGGTCAGCTTCACGCCCCGGCCGCTTTACCCAGGGGAAAGAGTGTTAGGTACCCACATGAGAGGAGGCTGGTTTGAGCTCAGGGCCCGCCTCGATGCTGTGAAGACGATAAGACTCTCTTGCCCTGCCAGAAATGGAACCCGATTGTTCGGTCGTCCAGCACATAATGTAGTCGCTGTAACCCCTGAGATATCCTGGCGCCTTCAATACAATTGCGGGCAGCAGGCAAGTAGAGGGCTGTGAGGTTACCGTGTAGTGTGGTAGAAATCTCAAAATTCAGATTTATCCTGCTTGCTGCTTCCTTTGTTTACTTATTGTGGGCTCACTCTTGGACCCTGCCGATGGAGGAAGTTTGTGGAAATTATTTGGGAGTCCACATATAGGCGCCTGGCGTTTCTTTGTGGGCTGTTTTACTGCCCTCAGTATTCAGAGAGTGGGATGACTGATTAATGATGAATCAGAAAAGATTTGGAAGGAAACGGTCGTAGCGTAATCAATATACCATTCATGCAATATCATGGAGGTACTGAGGAATATCATTAAGAAACTTCAGCCGGGATGAATGATGTCCCGTCCGAGATGCAAACCGAACACTTCTCGAATACCCACTGGGCAACGCAAGATGGTCCATGTCTAGTGGTCTTGTCTGCTGCACGCTCATCTTTCTGTAGTTACAGCTAAGGGCCTGCAATTGTAACATATCAAATTAGAAAGCGGAATGGCCGCTCTACTTTTCACGTTTCTGTGGGTATGAACACAGCCGTTAAATAAAGGACAGCTCCCCTATTCCCTCCCCCCACTTCTTTCCCTGCCTTTCGGACAACACTGCATGACGTATGTGCCTCTTTTGGTGTAGTTATCTTAAATTCAATAAACTTTCAACCCACGGCTCCTTGCACGAATGGTTTTCATTTGGGATACTGTTTAGGGGAAGTGAAATTATGAGTATCTTCGTAGGTCTGAGGTCAATGGACACAGACACGATTCTTTGGGGGGGGGGATATCCAAAAGTTCTGCTTACAAACATGTGTATATAGAACAGTGGTTTGCAAGCTTTATACAGCAGCGCCTCCTTCAGATTATCAAAGATTTCATCGTGAGCCCCCCTTTCTCCCTTTTTGAATTTGTACGTGAATAAAGAGCCGACCGCCTCTGTAGTCTAGTGGTCAGAGTTCCTGCCTACAGATCCAGAGGTCCTGGGTTCGATTCCCGGCGCTACCAGATTTTCTGAGATGTAGTGTGTCTGGAACGGGGTCCACTCAGCCTCGTGAGGATAGCGGCTCCGGTCTAGAAAACCGAGATTAATGGCCGTGGGGATTCGTTGCGCTGTCCACGTGACACTCTCTATCCGCTAAAGTTGGAAATAATAATAATAAATTCTTAATTTCGGTACTAGTTGGAAGTGGGTGGACTGTTTGATGCTCCTCCCGTTTTTACTCCAAGAAAATGAGAGTTTGGGGATCTGGATGTGGTCCAGAAGCTGTCTGGACGCCCTGGCGACGGAAAGGTTCCCTGACCATATAGGAAAATGAACCCAATAAGTTCAGTCTATTAACTCAACTTAAAAAAAAAAAAATAAAAAAAAAAACTTTATGAATAAATCTCACTTTTGTAGGAACCGGTAATTTTGACAGATATATGTTTGATATATTTAAGGCCATAGCAATGATGAAAACGGTGAAAGTAACTTGGGGAGATGTGGACCTATTTAACCTTCAGTGTTAGTGGTCACACGTTGGCATCAGATAGACACGCGCACAGGCAGCTGTCTGAAGAGCAAAACATTTAGCTGGCCCCAACACACAGCTACCATTCAGTGCAGAACCTTTTGTCTTCTCGTCTGCTGTCCAGAAACATAAAAATTGAAATATACAAAACTATAATTTTGCCTGTGGTTTTGTATGGGTGTAAAATTTGGTCTCTGACATTAAGGGAGGAACATAGACTGAGGGTGTTTGAGAACAGGGTGTTGAGGAGAATATTTGGACCGAAGAGGGATGAAGTGACCGGAGGTTGGAGAAAACTGCATAATGAGGAGTTTCATATCTTGTACTCTTCTCCAAGTATATTCAGAATTATCAAGTCAAGGAGGTGGGCAGGGCATGTAGCACGAATGGGGGAGACGAGGAATGCGTATAGTATATTGGTGGGAAAGCCAGAAGGAAATAAACCACTTGGAAGACCAAGGCGTAGGTGGGTGGACAATATTAAAATTGATCTTAGAGAGATAAGATGGGATGGTATGGATTGCACTGATCTGGCTCAGGATAGGGACCGGTGGAGGGCTCTTGTGAACACGGTAATGAACTTTTGGGTTCCATAAAACGCTGGAAAATTCTTGAGTGGCTGCAGAATTGGTGGTTCCTCCAGAAGGGCTCAGCTCCATGAGTAAGTAAGCACAGCCTGCAACTCTGCAGCCAGTAACAGTGTTTAGGAAACTTGTTCTTCATTTCGGGAATTATTTCGCGGCCTTGACAGTATTTCAAGTACACAATGAGCGTGGAACGAGAAATTGATGTAGGAATTATGAATTAGAAGACACTTGAAAGGAAGCAGTGATCGCCTAGATACGTCTCAGCATCCGTCCGGCTTAGCTGAGTAAAACAACGATGGACTTCATTCAGGGTATCCGGTGTTCGGGCCGAGACTCGAAACGAGAACCTCATGAATACGAAGAACTAGAGCGTTACCACTACACTAACTCGCTCCGTCTGTGAATTTAATAGTAAATTTTAGAAACCTGAAGATCATTTAAATTATAAATAAAATTATAATTCTTACAACACAGAAAACATACAGAGGCACTATCACAAAGGCTCTGGATCTATAGCCTGGAACTCTGACCACTAAACCACAGAGGCGGTCCTAGACAAGAACCTCTCTAAATTTTCTAGTAGGTCGCCTAGCAATCAATTAAATATATTTAAAGTATTTCATACTAAGCTTAACTTTCTGTGTTCTGTTTGTTTTGCAGGGCATGCTATAGAGTGTTTGAACTCATCGTTTTTTTTTTGTTTCATTCTGGTCCGTCACACTAACAATTACAAAGGCAAAAACGATACCGTCCAGTGTGACTATTTAAGTTTTTATCACTTAAGGACTTATCTCCCTTACATGTTTCAATCCTTATGGATCATCCTCAGAGGGTATTAATGCTTTCGGAAACTACCATTACAATAGATGTTAATTANTGTAAGATTTGAGGCTTTCACGGCGGTGACTATGAAGAAAGCAGTCTTCTGGGATTTGGCACCGTGTATATGTGGTGTTAACCGACGTTTCGGAGGAACGTATCGCCTCCATCTTCAGGGTAGAAGAAAAATATAAGAAATATGCAAGCGAAGAGACCGTGAGAAGTCTGCTTTTACCGGTTCTCACGGTCTCTTCGCTTGCATATTTCTTATATTTTTCTTCTACCCTGAAGATGGAGGCGATACGTTCCTCCGAAACGTCGGTTAACACCACATATACACGGTGCCAAATCCCAGAAGACTGCTTTCTTCATAGTCACCGCCGTGAAAGCCTCAAATCTTACATCTATTGTAATGGTAGTTTCCGAAAGCACGAGTATTGATACCCTCTGAGGATGATCCGTAAGGATTGAAACATGTAAGGGAGATAAGTCCTCAAGTGATAAAAATTTAAATAGTCACATTGGACGGTATCATTTTTCCCTTTCTCACTGTTTTTATTACCATATTTGCCATCTGCTCTTTACACAAAGAGCTTATGAAATCCGCTGAGTATCTTCAACACAAACAAAACTGAGAGGCCTTCAAAAGAGCAAAAGAACAGTAAACACAGCAGACAATAGACACTTGACAGAATGTAAACTGCAAGACTTCAGGACCGAGCTCGATGGTTCGGCCGGTAACGTTCCCGACTTCATTCGGGAGGTGAACGGTTCGAATTTTCGGCCGGAACACCAGCTACCCTGGTTGATGTTCTTCGTGGCTTCCCTCAGTCCCTCTATGCGAATATCTGGATAGTATCTTGAAGATGTTTCTTTTGTTTCTTTCCTTCAACTAACCATTCGACACTACACAGTATGAGCTACTGGAAGCGTCGTTAAATAATCATAACCGAATTATAACATGAACCTAGGACGCAGGATAATAAGGGACAGACTGTGATTTTTGGTGGAATGAACATTGGCAGGGGAAACCGAAGTAGTCGGAGAAAACCAACCCCAGCGCCACTTTGTCCATCACAAATCCCACTTGACCAGACCCGGGATCGAACCCGTGCCGCCGCGGTGGGAAGCCAGGGACTAACAGCTTGAGCTATGGCGCGGCCTAAGAGTTTTAGTATGTTAAAGTAGCTGGTTTTTGGAAGGATTAAGGTTAGTTATTTTTCCTTTTCAACAACCAGAGTATAAATTCAAACAGATTTTAACGGTAATATCAAGCCAGCCTTTTTTCTGTTAGAACTTTTACGTATATAAGAGCGGTAAAACTAGTTAAACTCTAAACGTGCCATCACCATTATCGAACGCCATCACGAATGACTCTCACGTTTTCGAATATGAGAAGTGACCTAGATCCGCTGAACAGCTTCTCGTACCAGGACACGCGATCATCCACTTCCTTCTATTCAGCTCTGTGGAGGTTTCATGAGGACCTCGGCACTAGATGGAGGCGCGTAGTCAACTTTACGCCGGGTGAAAGAGGCCCCCGTAATTGGATAAGGGGCTGGTTAGGCCCCAGAGACTATCTGGAAAGAAATGGATGACGGAAACTTTTCCTCCTTGCCGAGAATCGAAACCCGACCGTCCGGCTTGTAGCTCCAATTACAGTAGGTATTAACCAAGATCTAAAACTTTAATTTTGTTTGCCAATCACACACAAATGAGAGGTTCAGTTTAAACTAAACAGCTGCAGAAATACCTGCTTTAGCTCGTGAAGATCCGTTTTGCAGGATGGCAGAGCCTCCTGCTAAACAGATATTATATTCCCTGGGATTTCATTGAAATGTAATTGTGTGATATTCATATTGGTGTGTGTTTACGGCACAGGAGCGGCGGTATGGGATTCAGGATTGGCTTGACCTGCTGGCGTAGCGCTCTGCTTGCCAGCCGAGGCCACACAGCAAGGTGCACCGCGTCCTCAGTAGCAGCCCTCAAGGACGAAGTGAAAGAGTACGCGCGTCCGTACAGCGAGGTTCCCGGGCCCAAACCGCTGCCGCTTGTCGGCAACACCTGGCGATTCCTTCCTTTCATAGGTAAGGTAAAAGTAAAGTTTCCTTGTCCTCAACTAAACACCATTCCATGAAGACGTATGGGAATGTGGAGGTATAGCCCACCTCATCCATCTCCCCATCATTTGATGGAAATGAGTGGTAAGCTTCACGCCCCAGCCGCGTTACTCCCAAGGAAAAGCCTCCGATATCCACTGGATAAGGGGCTGGAAGGGTTCCAGAGCCGGTATGGACGCCGTGGAAAACCCTTCCTTGCCCCTGACGAGAATCAATTCCCGATTCCTCGGTCTTCCAGCCCGCAGCCCTTTGGTATCACCTTGGAAGTAAAAATATATTATTTTATACCCGAACTTCAGTGTTAAGTCAGTAGAATTCCTGTTTTGTGATCGGGAGTTCATATCTCTGCCTGGAGACTAATACTGAGATTTTCGTGGGACTCTTCAGTCACATCAGACTTAGCAATTTAGCATAGCGGTATTGATTTAGATCCATACTTGGGAGATGCTCGGTTCGAGTCTAAATCAGAACACCGGCTACCGTGACTGGAGATTTTCGTGGTCTTCCTAAGTTCCACCAGGCTTATTCCGGGATAGTACCTTAAATTAGGCCACGACCGCTTCCTTCCACATCCTTTACAATTCATTATTCACTCTGATGAGGCTACGCAAAGATATCCCAAAGATCGAACCTCTCAAAACCCACATCTCGCTGACGTTTCAGGTTCCCACACAAGCTCATCTTGCTACATTCCACTCAATTCGTCTAGCCATTCAGTTCACATTGGTGTTGCTATACTGTGTTCGGGATGTCTACGTAGTACATGTAAACACAACATCGACCGTCCGCTTCATATTGGCTTACACAACGGGGAAGTACTCTTCGCGCTGTACACACGATGCCTCTCTTCATTGCAGTAGTAGTGCGTTAAGATACAGATAATATTGCGGAACAGTTGACGCGTTGTGAACTACACTCTACTCGCCTCTTCGTTTGTTCACATGTAGTCCGTAGACATTCCGAATGGAATATCGCAATATAGCGAGCGACAAGTGCTCTTGGTTGGTTGACATATGCCAGATGAGGCCGCAGAGAAGTACAGCAATAGACATAGCAATAGCCTCGACATTCCTGTCATCCTCCGGACTTCTTTCTGTAGCCTCAGTGTGGGCACGGGCAGGGGGGCAGGGGACAAGCCAAACATCTTCCTCATCTTCCCCCCATTATCCTGGGTTATTTGGGAAGAACATTGAGGAAAAGAAATAAATATGCCAGATATTAATGACAAAAATTAAAATTATTTTATAAGTTAATTATGTCTCTGTTCTGAATAGTGTAGATAGATTAGAGCGGTCACACACCAACTGCGTCAAGACAAGCATCAAGACATGAGACAAAAGACAGTCTTGCTTCATTCGTGATTCGTCAGCATGAAGCTGACGTCAGCATCATGACTCAGACCGGTGTGCGGCGGTTTCCATACTCTCATTCGTTTCAACTGTGCACCTTTCTTTGCGTCATGGCGCAGACATCGTGTCTTGACTGTTACATGTCTTGAAGCATGTCGGTAAATCGCAAATTTGTAAGTAAATTTTCTAGCTGTCCAACTTGGAAAATTGGTTACCTCCTTAAAAAAAACTGGCTGATCGTATCATTAAAGGAACAAATCCTTGGCAGTATCCTTGGACTTCACTATAATCATCCCTCCTTTTTGACAATTAAACAAACGAAGGATAAGCAAATAAACAAAACCTGACTGCCTCTGCAACATGCATGACATTTTCCTTTGTCACGCAGGCGACTTCAGCATCGAAGAAATTGATCAAGTATCGCGTGATCTGTACCGGCAATATGGTCGCGTTGTCAAGTTGGCTGGCCTGATGGGGAGACCCGATATGCTGTTCCTGTATGACGCTGACGAAATCGAGCGTGTATTCCGCAACGAGGAGCTCATGCCACACCGTCCCTCCATGCCCTCCCTCAACTACTACAAACATGTTCACCGGAAGGATTTCTTCGGAGACAACGCAGGTGTTATTGCTGTGTGAGTACAGATGTACTGAATATTTCACAATGCTGTCAGGATCTACAGAATACATCGTCGCATGACAGGATGACTGATGAATTGGAAGTAATTTGGAAGGAAACGTTCTTCATGTAATCGAGATACGATCCCGGCATTTGCCTGGAGGGATTCAATGAAGCTTCAGTTAGCACGGCCGATGTTTCGAATATACTTAAACTCTACAGCGTTACCACTGGGCAAGCCCGCGAGTAAGAACCATTACCACAATTCTGTATACTTAACGTATTATTGTTTGCTATATGTCTCACATGTGACCGCCTCTGTGGTCTAGTGGTCAGAGTTCCTGCCTACAGATCCAGAGGTCCCGGGTTTGGTTCCCGGCGCTACCAGATTTTCTGAGAAGTAGTGGGTCTAGAATGGGGTCCACTCAGCCTCGTGAAGATAATTGAGGAGCTATTTCAAGGAAATATCGGCTGCGGTCTAGAAAACCGAAATTAATGGCCGTGGGGATTCGTTGCGCTGACCACGCGACACCCTCTATCCGCAAAAGTTGGCACTAACTTCACCGACAAGCGGCGGTAGCTCGGTCAGTATAGTTCGCTTGCGGACTACAGGCCATGGAGTTTGTTGTTGTTTGTTATATGTCTCACATGTGACGTTGTATAGGAAATGATAACATGGTTATGAAAAATAAGTCAAGGAATGTACGAAAGAAAGGGTCTGGCCCGATTTCAAGCCACTGTACCGGAATTTGTGTGTAGCGTATGGAGACAAAATGCGACATCAATCAGAAGAGCCGGTATCCATAAATACTTTATGCGTTGCTACCGAGACGCAAGTACAAACACAGGAAGGTCAACGTGTAAGGTGCTCGTTTTCGTCGTCCGATTTTAATGGAAATTTAAATGGCAGAACAAAATTTAGCCAAACTCGCCAATATCACATATCATGTAAATTCGTTCAGAAGTCCTTGAACCTTTACATCCGAGAACACAGACAGACATGTATAGGAGCATTTTGTTTATTTTTTCGGTACGAACGCGCTAAAAAGAATAATCTGTACCCACACGTAATCACAACGAACACGTATGAACGAAGGGATGTGAGGTTCAACTATTCTTAATCTCAGTACTACATGGAAGTGAGCGGTCAGCTTCATGCTCCGGTTGCTTTACCCCGAAGGAAAGAGCCTCCGGTAGCCACTGGATAGGAAACTAAACCAACACCAGAGCTCACCTGCACGCTGTGAAGAAGAACAACGCCTTGCATGTGGCAAGTCTTGGACCCGCAAAACCTGTCACTATACTGACTGAGCTATCTAGGCTAACACGAACTTTCTTTAAGTACTTATAATCACTACGCAAATTAACTTATCGACGTTATGCAAGAATTCACTTTCTAATCAGGCTGCCTAATGTTAAGAAACAAGGTTCGAACGTCAATGACAACATTATATCCTGTTGCAGCTGGAATTGCAAAATCGACTAAGTTACGAGGTTGGTGATCGAGGGATCAGGGTTCGATAATTGAAGGGATTTTTTTATTTCCGCCACGGATTCGATACCAGCCCTAGGGTGCACATAGACTATCGAATCTTTCCCGGGGAGGAAAGTTGGACGGGGCGTCAAACTGACCACTTACCTAATTTAATGTCGATGTGAAGAATGCGTGGAGCTATACCTCCGCTCCCCATTATGTATTCATGGAGTTATGCTTAATTAAGCACAGGGAAATTCTGTTTACGTTTTTAAGAATTTCTTCTCTTTGTAAATTTAATACAAGGTACACATCCTTGACATGCTGGACTGGCGGGACAATAACACCTTTCCTATTGTGGTTAAATATTATACAACTATTCAGAACTTAATGTAGAACCTGTTGTAATTAAACCAGAATTCTTATAACTTGTTACATAAGCTTTCCTACTGTTAACTTCCCTTGCTTTCTCCCCGTGTTCCTTTCCATGTCTGGCTCTTATCGAATTACATGTCCAGGTTATCGTTCGACTGCATCTTCCACTAATGACACGCACAAATAGTCAATTATAAACCGTTTCCTTCATATATTACAGTACGTGGTAGACAACACATATCCATACCAAATGTTCACATAATAGCCACGATACACTGACGTAAGAGATTACTATCTCGGTCGTGACCAACTACAAAATTTATGTTCAAGCAAAATGTTAACTCAATGGTCATCCGAAATTCAGTAATTTAGAGTTTTTATCTCACCATTACCTTGTTCATTTCTACAAATATATAGAAATCAGACCGAACATAGTGGAGGTTTATATTAAAACAATATGCACACTAATGTGAAATCATAACCGTAACTATTTTTTATAGGCCGGCAGTGGTCGGCGGACCAGGGGTTGTGAAACTTATGGTTGTTTTGAATGTTCCGGGCCTACCCTGCGGTCCATAAAATTACAAAATAGACTTTCTCCCCTTGCACCTGATGATGTAAACAGATCCAGTTTCCGAAACACTGTCATGTTACACACGACGCCCAGAAGCATTTAAACGTAGCCTATAGGCCTATTATTTAACCGTTAGAAACTAGCAACTAACTGGGCGGGTTGACGTAGCGGTACCGCTTTAAACTCGTATTCGAGAGGTGTCCGATTCGAATATCAGCAGGGCCACCACCTATTCTGAAAATTCGCGTGGTTTTATTCAGTCCCGCCACGCAAATGCCGGGTTAGTACCTCGATTAGGACGCAGTCAATTTCTTCGAAACACACACAGAGAAATGGACTGATTGCAGGGATTTGTGAATTGCGCCGTTCAGATGGGCTCAGGCGCCAAATTATTCGTACCAAGTTTCGTAGAGATTCGTTCAGGCATTCAAAAAGTTCATGGGAAGGGAACATGCATATACAGAGAGACACAAACGGCACAGTGATCGCATAAGCCTAGTTTTACTTACTTACTTATGGAGCTGCGCCCTTCTTGAGGAGAAGCCAAATCTGCGGCTACTCAAGAATTTACCAGCATTTTATGGAACCCGAAGGTTCATTACCGTGTTCACAAGAGCACCTCCACTGGTCCCTATCCTGAGCCAGATAAATCCAATCCATACCATCCTATCTCTCTAAGATCCATTCTAATATTGTCCACCCACCTACGCCTTGGTCTTCCCATTGGTCTCTTTCCTTTTTGCTTTCCACCAATATCCTATATGCATTCCTCTTCTCCCCCATTCGTGCTACATGCCATGCCCACCTCATCCTCAAGGTCCAGATCCAGGTCCGAGGCTTTGTGTGCAGTTTCGTAACAAGATTATTTTTTACGTTGAGGAGTTGTTAACCCAACGCCCAACCCACCAGCTGGAGGACCACCACTTGTCGGCTGTCAGCGACTGCTTATTCAATATATTCGCAGCTTCCATCCATACCTGGAGGGCGTCTCCTCCATCCGCAACCTGAGGACGCGCCATACCGTGGTGACAAGGGACCCACCTAACATGGCAGTCCACTTTTATTTCTTCAAAATAAAGAGAGTAGGCACAAAATAAGATGGCCTCTGACAACATAAAATGGCGGCTTGTTCCTGCAGGAATTTAAGTTGGCACTGCTCGAGTCAACGAAGTTGTCGGTTGCTAGGACTACATAGGGTTATGATGATTAGTGAATAAATAACTGAAAAGGGTTTGGAAGGAAACGATCATGTCCTAATGTGAGCTACTACCTCCGAATTTTAATGCAGGATCTGAAAAATATTCTGTGCCATGATGGCTGATCCGCGAGCCAAGATTCGAAAGCAGAAACTTCCGAATACATGGCAGGAGTGCTTACCGTTTTACAGGACATTTCATTGTAGTTGTGCTAAGGTGAAAGTCACGGAACGTTTCCAAAAAAAATCGTCCAACATTAATTTATGGAAGTAAACATTTATTTTAGATATAGTTAGTGTGTTTACCAAAGGCAAAAGCAATGAGCGAATCACAAAACACTTTATCAGCCCTTCTTCTAAAAGACATGAATCAAATTTACCTTTCTGTTTAACAGATAACACCATCTAACATATACTAACTACTAAACTAAATATTATTGTCGGCAGTTTACCAACTTGACAGACAAAATGTTTACATATTATGTAGTTTCACATGAAGTGTAAACTGTGAAACTGAGCCGTTTCAAAGCAACAGCAGAGAAAGTTGTGATCTGATAAAATCGTCTTTCCTTGATTTAACGATCCTTAGTCATGCGCACTAAATATTTAGCCCCGAATGATAAAAGACAATGATTTTAGGCGCGCTCGTAACCCTACCGAAGGCCTTTTAATATTTTTGCATTTCGACGCACTGATAAAGCGATGGGACAAGTGTAGCGATGTTGGTGCAAGATACGTCGAGAAATAAACGTTTTTTCTAGATTCGAATATCACATGTTTTAGGTTTTATATCGATTTTTGACCTGAATCTCCTTAGCACTGCTATGTTTAGATTCCTGAGATGGGCCTAGGCTCGAGCCCTTCATGGCCTTCAGGTTGGTGTGGCCTGCTGGATTACTCAACCTGTTTTTCAAGCGTATCCATGTTCACCGTAATAAGAAAAGACTTTCTCTGCTGACCGCATTTAAGCGACAATTTGTGTATCTCCAAAAAGAAAGCAAAGTCACAACTAAAGCCGCGTGAAGTAGGTCTGTGTGAACAAAAGACAATCTTACTGGTGTGAACTGGAGGGGGGGGGTCCTCTTCGGACAGGCAATCTGAGCTTCTAAGGAACAGGAGGAGGGCGGGAAAAGGTCTCCACGGACATTCTAATTGCTTCGGTTTAAATCAGGGATGAGTAAAACTACCATCATAACTTTCTGTGACATTCAATATTCTGACGCTAATGTCTATACAGGCTACTGCCATCTGGAAGGTGGTAGATCGTTACTGACGTTTCGGAGGAATTACTTCCACCCTGAAAACCGGGCAGTAGATTCATTCGCACTATTGTGATTATAGACAAATGGACGCTAATATAATTCGAAAAGTTTCTATCCATCTACTAAATTACACTGGGTGTGGGCTATTTAATGACGTCGCCAATTATACACCGGAAGTAGCCAAACTGTGGTTCGCGA